TTTTTTTTTTTTTTTTTTTTTTTTTTTTTTTAATGAGTCAAGATCTTTTACACTCACTATAAGAAATTCCTAATTCTTCTCTCTCTCTTGAACTGAAAACTCTCTATTCCATTACCACATCACCCGCCAAGTGTATAGTAAGTATGCTAAATTCAGTAATTTGGAACATAAATCAACAAATAGGACATCAATACACATAATGTAACTCAATTCACCAACCTCGGTATGCTTATGATTCAGCCTAACAATCAATTTTATTTGAATCCTTATCTATCCCAAAAGAAATGGGAAAATATTCCACCTTATTTTTCTTTATATTTTCCCTCCCTCTCTCTCCGGTCATTTAGCCAATTGTCGCGAAAATAGCAATCTTCCTTAAATTTTGTACTAAAGTACCAAAATTTATGGTAATCTAAGTAAGCATCCAATATTTACACAACAAACAAATCAAATACCAAAGCTATGAGCCAAACCAGACCTGCAAGTTTCTCCGACTCTAGGATCAGTCTCTCCCAATGCCTCGATCTGGATCTTCAACCCTTCCTCGTAACACGCAATCGACCGGTCGACTTGTCCCAGCATCGAGAACGTATCTCCCAACTGCATATGCCCGGAGAACGCGGCGAGTGCGTGATCAGTACCCCTCGAAACCTCCGGCACCTGGATCGCCCTCTCCAGGACCGGCACGGCCTCCTCGAACCTCCCCAAGCTGCAGTAGATCGCGGCGAGCACGTGGAGGCTCATGGCCAGGTCCAGACTCGGCTCGCCGTCAACGGCGCACCGCTCGAACGACTTGGACGCCCTGAGCGCGTAGTCCAGGGCCTTGACCGGACCGTCGCCGGAGGCGATCGTGTCTCTGGCGAGCTTGAGGAGGAAGGGTCCGAGATCGGGGTTGTCGAGCGACATCTCCGACAAGATCTGGTTGGGGCTGTCAGATTGGGGCTTCTTGGACCTCCGATCCGGCGAGGGCTTGGATCGGGAATTGGAAGGGGAAGGAGAGGGAAGCCTCTTGGGGTGCGGAGACGGGGTTTTGGGGATCCCGGGCTCGGACCTCTGGGCCTGGGTGGTCGAGGTCGGGGTTTGGGCCTCGGAGACCGAGATCCGAAGCGGCGGCGCATCCGGCGGGGTCTTGACGGAGACTAGGCCCGGCATCTTCTCGGCCCAACAACGACGACGGCGAAAAAGAAGAAGAAGAGAGGAAATGGAGGGTGAAGTGGAACTGAAAGTGAGAGAGAAATTTGATAAATAAGAAAGAGAAAGAGTAAAGAGAAGAGGTTACAGAGTTAATTATGGATATGAACTTGCCACCACTCTCAACAAACACGAGAAAGTGAGGAGAGAGAAAGAGAACGAACTGGGCCGGCCGATTGCAGATCAGATGTCTTCTCTTCACTTTCCCTGCCTTGTCCGTCTGTGCTGGCAAACTGTGATGGAGGTTGTTGCGTAGGGCAGTATTGTCTTTTCGCTAAATGACGATAACCAACTATTTTGGACACGTGGTGATGTGTTATTGGTTATAGAAGTATGGGGATTATTTTTACCGTTAAGACTTAAGAAGCGACACACCGCGGTGAACTAACGGGAATGTATAAGGATGGCGCCGCTTATACAGACGGTGTTTTTATTTGCCCCAAACGGAAAGTTAACCGTTGAAATTTGTGTTTCCTATTGATCTTTCTTCTTTTCTTTTTGACTAAATTACACCATTACACCTTAAATTATTCGTTTTTCACATAATGTATCTTCAACTTTTAATTTTAGTAAACTGCACCTTAAATTTTAAAATAATTACAACTGAGGTTCAATAGATAACGGATATTATTAAACTGACAGTTTAAAACACGTAATTCACACATAAAAAGTAAAGGTCGTTACTTTTCACACCATCTTGTATGTAAATTTCATGTCTCGAATTGTCAATTTAATAACAACATTAGCTATTAGACTTAAATTACAATTAATTTTGAAGTTTAGGGTGTAATTTTTTAAATTTAAAAGTTCAAGATCCATTATGCATAAACTAAATAGATTAAGATGCAATCGTGCAATTTACTCTTTATTTTTCCCTTAAAAGAAATTGCATGGCATGCCATTGAAATTCAAAAGCTTTATATTTATGCCACTAAATATGAATAAATTAGTTATTTTCAAGTGAATTGAGTAATCTTAAGTTTATACCATTTGATGGCATAAGTATAAAGATGACATTTTTTGAATGGCATTTCTAGATTTCTCTCATTCTCTTATTTGAGATAGTTACATATATATATATCAATTATACAAGGGATGAAAAAAGAATGTCTACCAATTGTGGTATTTGTATATAAATCTGTAAAACAACCCATAGTGACGTTCATCTTCTTTGTTTACCACCCTTAAAACTAATTACACAAATTGACAACCACCTGCATAAAAAAGATATATCCAGAATAGTATTATCTCAATAATCACAAAATGAACACATTGACAATCTTGTTAAATTAAAGGCATATTATAAACATAGTATTTAGAAGTGATCCTTTTATAATTGATTTTGTGGTAAACAAAGAATAGGAATGTCATATTCTAAACGGGTCATCATGGCCTCATAGCAGTATTTTTTTACCATTAAATTCGATAAATATCATATTAAAATAAAAGCATGTGGAACAAATAATTTATTGATATTAATCTGATTGATGAAAAACAAAGCACTATTCAGCTGTGCATTCGGTATCAGATACAACAGCACAAATCCTCGCCGTACAGGCCTCAGACCAATGGAGCAGTGGAGGCAGCAAAGAAAAAAAAACATAGGTCAGATCCTGCGGAAGATGACAGACACATATCGAGATTGGCCCGAAAAGTGCTCTTCTTGAGCGATCCATTCTATGAGCGGGGCAAGTGTAATTTTTCAAGTCTTACCATAAAAATCTCTTTGTTATACCCCACTGAAAGAGCAAGTCTTTTTAATTGTTTGATTAAATTTTAAATAGTTAAATATATGAGAATGTAAGATAAAGCACCATACAACACAAAAATCTCTCATTCATAGATGTAATGGCTATAAAACTTGCCCTTGGCGGAGTAAAAAACCCCTACTTTAGATTTTCTTTTTCCTTCTTTTTTGGGAATTTTTTATATTAGAAGTTGTCATTTTTACTACGAGTATTGTTATTGTTGTTTTAGTTGTTGAGTTCTAATCTATAAATAAGAGTAATTTTGTTTGAGCAGTGCAATTTTTTAACACATGCATTTATAGATTAGATTGTTACAAAATTAATCCATAAGTTGAAATAATAGTTTCTAGCGATAAATAACAGTTCTTTTTGTTATATTTCAATACGGCTAGTAAGATTATACTATATGCCTAACTCGCTCATTTTCTGTGGTAAACAATGGACTGAAATACAATTTAGGCCCTTTTGCAAAGTTTTTTCATTTTTGGGGAAAAACATGAATTTTTCTAGAAATTAAGGGCTAAAATGCAAAATCAGAAAATCTTTGAAATCGTAAAAATTTTATATATGACACAAATTATACAAAGTAGAATAATTGAAGTTATACCATACAATCACAAAACCACTACGCATTTGCAATGGATCAAGGTGAACTAAGCTGCAACCGCATGAGTAAAATGATGTTTATTGTGGCAATATGATTATGGCGACGATGGATCAAATAACTGAGAAAACCCCTCGAAACACCACTTCGTTCATTTCGTTAGTTCGAATTTTTAACTCGAATTTGACTCTTTACGAGAGAAAACACTGTAATAAACACTTGAATTATATTTCGAGCCAACGAAACGAAGGAAATGTGTGTAATTTCATGCACTATCCAAACATGTGGCCACCAAAGTGTCCATGATTGAAACTTTACCATGTTTTTGTGATAGTTTAACAGTTCATAAGTAAATTTATCAAAATAAAAAGTCTACTTTATATTTTGTTTTGTTTCCTTTTCTGAGTTTAAAAAAAAAAAACCAGAAATCAAATTCCTTCTCAAAACCAAAATAAAAAAACCCAGAAATCAGATTTCTTTCTCAAACCCAAAATCTTTTGGCCTGAATTTTGTGTGTTTAAGGACATTCAAACCAGGAAGACGATTGGTTATGGTACTAGGCGGGGAAAGCTCTATTACTTGGACTTGGCGTCCAAAAGTTCTGACAAATTACAACAAGCTCTGACGGTGGATAGCTCTGAGGGGGAGAAAAAACAAAAATAAAAAAGGAAATTTGGTTATGGCATCGGCGTATGGGACATGCTTCCTTTAGATATTTAAAAAAGTTGTTTCCTAGTTTATTTGCAAAATTTGATGTTTCTAGTTTTCGGTGTGATGTTTATGAACTGGCAAAAAGCCATCGTGCTTCATTTCCCTTACGTTTAAATAAAAGTCCACTTCCTTTCATGATTATACATTTTGATGTTTGGGGTCCGTCTAAAGTCACTACTTTGGGAGGATCACGTTGGTTTGTAACGTTCATTGATGATTGTACCAGGATGACATGGTTATGCTTGATGAAATCCAAAGGGAAAGTGAACTTATTATTTCAAAAGTTTCATAAAATGGTTGAAACTCAATACAACACAAAGGTTCAAGTTCTTCACAGCGACAACGGTGGAGAATATGAGAGTACTGAATTTCAACAATATTTGGAAGCACAGGGGATAGTCCATCAAACAACATGTTCTAACACACCTTAACAGAATGAGATTGCTGAGAGGAAAAATCGACACTTATTAGAAGTTGTTCGAGCTTCATTGATAGACGCCCATATGCCATTATCTTACTGGGGAGAAGCGCTTACTTCAGCAGCCTATTTAATCAATCGGGTACCCTTTAGCATTATTGATTTCCGGACACCGTTACAAACTCTCACAGAAGCAGTTGTTGCCCCAGCCGTACCAAATTTACCTCCTCATGTTTTTGGCTGTGTAGTATTTGTACACCTCCATAATCATCAACGCAACAAGTTAACTCCTCAAGCACTGCAATGTGTTTTTGTTGGGTATGCTACTCATCAAAAGGGATATCGGTGTTATCATCCTCCCATACGTCAAATGTTTATTACAATGGATGTTGTTTTTCATGAAGACACAATGTATTTTTCTAAGCCTGAACTTCAGGGGGAGTACCAGAAGGAAATTCAGACTCTAGATTACGACTTTCTAGAGTATGATTATCCCACTTCTGATAAATCTGAAGCGTCAAAGTCTGGTAACCAGGATGTGAGCAACTTGGATATAAGTGGTATAACAATGGATTATAGTGGTGACAACTCACAAGCTGGACCAGTGAACCATGAGATGGGTGAATTGGATTTAAGTGTATAACGTTGGATCAAAGTGGTGATGAACACCCAGTAACACAAGAAGCAAGTTGGCCTGAATCTAAGATTCTCGTTTGACAAACTGAAGATGTGGAGCTACCTTTGTCCGACGTATCATACCAATCACTTCCTGAAGGTGTTCTTGAGCCATACAAACGACAGTTACCACAGCGTCACACCAGAGGTCTCCCTAGACCCACATATGAACCCGAGCTATCCAGTAAAGTCAAATATCCCACGAGTTATTACATATCTAACCACCATTTGTCAGAATCAAATATGTCATTTGTTAATCAATTGTCTAGTGTATATATTCCTAACAGTGTGCAGGAAGCTTTAGCCGACCCCAGGTGGAAAGCAGCTATGAATGAAGAGATGAAATCCCTACAAAAGAATGAAACTTAGGAGCTTGTTGATCCTCCACTAGGAAAGAAAACAGTTGGATGTCGGTGGATTTACACTGTGAAGTACAAAGCTGACGGCACAATTGAACGCTTTAAAGCGAGGCTAGTAGCGAAGGGATACACTCAAACCTATGGGATTGAGACATTCGCACTTGTAGCCAAAATCAACATTGTTCGTGTTATGTTATCTCTAGCTGCAAACTTGGATTGCCATTACAATAGTTTAATGTGAAGAATGCTTTTCTGCATGGTGAATTATCTGGATAAGTCTACATGGATCTCCCACCTGGATGCATGAGACACGAGAAGCATAGTCGAAAGGTGTGCAGACTAAAGAAATCGTTGTATGGGTTAAAACAATCCCCGAGGGCATGGTTTGGAAGGTTCACGAAGTCTATGAAAGCATTTGGCTACCATCAAAGCAATTCAGATAATACTTTATTCCTAAAGAAACAGCAGAGTAAGATCACTGCACTCATTGTATATGTAGATGACATGGTGGTTACAGGAAATGATTCTGAAGAAAGAAAGGCCCTACAGGAGTACTTGTCTAGAGAGTTTGAAATGAAAGATCTAGGTCCTCTGAAATATTTTCTTAGGATTGGAGTATCTCGATCCAATAAAGGAATATTTTTATCCCAAAGGAAATATGCCTTAGATCTTTTACAGGAAACCGGAATGTCAGGATGCCAACCAATTGATACACCA